AAGCAAAAGCTAGAATCCGGTATAGCTGTACAATCCCAAGCGTCTAAAAGGATTTTGTCAGAAACTGCAACGGAATTACGGAATTGGGAAGGCCCCTACACCGTCCTCTAGAAAATCAACGACCTGATCTACCGCATTCAGTTGTCAGCGGGAAGTAAACCCAAGGTAGTTCACATTGAAAAGTTAGCGCCATATCGTGGTCCAGATCCTCCCCATTGGCTCCAACCAGGTCTCAGTAAGTTATTTGGGGCGAATAACTAGAGAGAAGGGAGCAATGTTACGCAGCACCCTGCAGTAGTGTGCGGCTGTTATAGGAAACGTATACGAATACAAAAAGGAACTGCAATGTTACTTTTAGCCTTACAGTGTGCTGTGCTCGTCATATGTAAAAGTACGAGCAAAAGAAGATAGAATAGTCCAGAAATGTCTGGAAATGTCATAATTATATAAGTAGATGATCCTGACGTCCCTTTTTCAGTTTTATGTTAATGTTATGAGTTGTATAATTATTGTTAAAGTTGAGTTAAAATAAATTGAGATACCAAAAACCAGTGTAACAGTAGTGTTTCGGGAGGGTTTATTTAGATTTTATAAAAATTATTCATTGATCAAATTTTAATAACATATAAGGACTGTTCTGGTTTTAAAAAATATGAATCCACAACTTTCGGCGCAATAAATAAAAAGTGTTTTCTCGGACTACTTCGGATTTCCCAGTCCAATGTTCTGGTTTCGTACCCAAAATAATCCGTGATGTTTTTTAAAATGTGTTTATGTTCGGGGTGTGGATGAATTTGTATGCGTTTTTGAAGGGATTGTAATTATTTGAAATCAGGTTCTTTTGTTCTTGTGTTATTTGTAAATTAATGCCATTTTAGTAATATTTAATTTTTTGAACAATATTTTAATTTTTTATAGTGAAATGAGTGAATTGATTAGAATTTTTATCTGACAAAGAAGATAATAATAATGTTTTTGTTCTGTCAAACAGTCAGCGATCTTTGTTTTTACGAACACTCTCCGGCGCAGTTTACAAAACCGTTCTCATTTTGAGAACCAGAACAAACCTATGCACGTTCAATAGGTCTTCTGAATAAAAGGAATATTTAAAGAAACAATTTTAAGTATATACAGGGTATTTAAGAAACCGTTTTGTACATTTTATTGATTAAAATGAAACCTCAAATTGTAGAAACAGTTTTGTTGGTATTTGAAACGACGCAAAACTACTGGACTACTCCATTCATTCAAAATTAAGCTCTTATTTATTGCCATCAAGAAATGATCCCAGAAATTTTGTAGAGTTGAATAATGTCATATTTAGATTACACAGGGGAACAGCTGTTTTGGTGTCGAGGTTTTTTGAGCTGATTCTATATCAATTTGATGCCCTGCATTCAAATAACGTATTTATTTTTACCTAAAAGCTCAAATTTTTAAGATATACAATTTTAGAGAAATATAAGTTACATTATTTTAACTCAAATCCGTAAGTGTAGTAAACAAAAGTAGATATAAAATTTTTATTTTAGTTATACAAAATACAATATTATGTTGTACTTACAAACAAAAAAAAAACATTGTAGAAATCAAATAGTCACTCAACCTTCGAAAGCTTCTTTTCCGCGACATTATTGAATGTTTTTTTAAACAGTCCCTTTTTAAACTCCAGCAGTAATCTGCCATCATGTGCATGTCCCATCTTTCTTGGAAGCGGTCCTCCATAACTTTAATATCTTGGTGAAATCTTTTACCTTGTTTCTCACTCATGTCTCCTAAATTTTCTGGAAAACGGTCTAAGTGGTTGTGTAAATAGTGTATTTTAATACTCATATTGCACCCTAAGGATTTGAAACTATTAAGCATCTTGTTAACTATTTCAACATAGTTTTGAGCTTAAAGTTTGCCTAAAAAAATTTCTGCAACTGCAACAAATGATGTCCAAGCTTCTCGTTCAACTTTATTCCTTGAATTTATGAAGGCAGGATCCTTAATTAATTGTCTTATTTTTGTGCCGTCAAATATCCCTGCTTTGAGTTTTTCTGTGCTCAGCTGATGCATTTTTACCCCTATATATGCAAAACATGACCCATTCTTATCAAGAGCCTTTACAAATTGCTTCATTAAGCCCAACTTTATAAGTAACGGAGGAAGTATGATTTTTTCTCTTTCAACCAAAGCGTCGTTAATGACATTCTTTTCCCCAACGTCCATGTTTTCTCTTTGAGGCCAATCTTTTATAACCCAGTGGTGTGTTTTTCCCCACTTTCCCAGATGCACATGGATATTTCATGTAACAACCACTTTGCCGCTCAAGAAGAAAGTTTACCATTTTTAAGTCTACACAAATCATCCATTGATGTTCGTGATACATTATCTTCTGCAAGACCAAAGCTACGATATTATATTCTTCTTTCAGTTTCGTTGAGTGAGCTAGTGGTATTGAACCATATTTATTCCTATTATGTAGAAGGACACATTTTAAACTTCGCTTTGAAAAGTCAATAAATAGGCGCCAATCATCTGGAATATATTCAGAAAGTCCCATTTCTTTCATGAGTCCATTAATTTCGTGACAAAATACAAGATTGTTTTCTTGAGAAAAGAATGGTAGCAGATACTTTTCTCTTGTACGGTAAAAGGTAATTTTGGTTCCTTGTTCCAATAAATTTTTGTCGTTCAACTTAGAAGCCAGTACTTCAGAAGCTTTGTTAGATAAATTTAGATCCCTGGTGAGATCATTTAATTCATTTTGATTGAAGCGTTCAGGAAGATGACGTCTCCTCATGGTCACTGTTAGTTTCATTACCATCAGAACTTGTATTAGCATCAGAACAGTGATCAGAGGGAAAATATTCGTCATCAGAGATATCTGGTAGCTGATGAAATGTTGGAATCGGTATTTCATCTGAGTGCAGGATAGGGCGTATTGCCGAGTCTACATTGAGATAAGTCCACTTACTGCGGTTATTTCGATTAATTCCTTTAGTATTTACTAAACAGAAATAACAATCATTAAAGTGGTTTTTTGGTTCTCTCCAAACCATTGGTACGCCGAATTTTAGACATTTTCTTTTCCCGGTAGTCCACTGCTGTAAATGCTCTGTAAAAGTTTTACATACGAGATGCGGGGCCCACTTTTTGTCCTGATCACCAAGGTTAACTCCAAAATATTCAAGATACGCTCGCTTTACAAAGTCAGTAATAGTTTGTCTGTTTTGTTAAAACATGTATTCTCCGCATATATAGCAAAATACATCAGGTTGATTTACACAACTTCTTCTTGAACTGGAACCTGAACTCATTTTAATTCTGTTCAATAACACAAAAACACTCTTTTCTTAACATATAATAAGAACATATAGTAAGAACGCACAAATTGACGAGACTTACCCTAGTTAGGGGATTAAAAGGGTCAGTTCAGGTACCTGATAGGCAATGGTTCCATTGTTTATAGATAGACTTACCTGGAATTTACTCAATTACAGACTGACAATAAAACCATTGTACCTACATTAATGAATATATAATAATTTTAGAACTCTCATAAATGAATATACTGAATAAAAACTACATTGGTAGATAAGTTGATGTATCTAAAAAAGTAGAGCTGATAGAGAAAAATAGATTGCATGTACAGATTAAGCGTCCCAAATATAGTTTAAATCAGCTCTAAAATCACAGGCACCAAAAAAAAATTATTTTTTGTTGCCCTGTGTTATCTGTTGTCAATGTTATTAAATTTTCAATGTTATTTGTAAGTTAAATTTCATTAATATGGGTTTTTAAAATTTAATATTAGGATATTTCGTATACACCATTCATTGAATTTGTTATAAAGAAAATTTAGTTTGTTTGAAATTTCCTGAAAGGATTCACATAAGAAGCCACTTAAACGTCATCTGCATATAGAACAATGCAATCTGCGTTTATAAAAATAAGAAATAATAATAGTCCCATTATGGATCCCTGTGGAACTCCCAAATCTACATTACCTTCATTTAAGCGAGCCTCATTTACATTGACAATAATTTTTCTGTGCCTTCAATGACTTTAACCAACCTATTTCCTTGAAAATCTAAATATTGAAGTCTGGTTTCCACAAAATCCAAGTCTAAGTAATTAAAAGCTTGTGTAAGATCAAAGAAAAGTGCTTCAATTACTTTTTTTCATATCCAGTTGTTTGTCAATTCAACAAAATCATATACAGCTCTCTCCATTCAGAGCAGTGGCGAAATAAGCTCTAAATTGAAATTTTAATTAAATAGTTAATGATAGCATATGCATAAATTGGTAACTAACAGTAAATCGATGGCCTAGAAGCAATACCTCGTAAGTACAAAAAAATCTAAAATCAGGATTTAAGCGCCATTATACTGATGTAAACGCTCCCTATCAACCAACAGAAGCATTGTGTAGCGACCGACCAATAGAGTTCTGCATGATCACATGCCAATACCTCGCGCTAAAAATTTGCTTGCAATTCCTCGTATGTGTTTATTTTGCAATGGTGGTTAACACGTGAAAGTTCTTCTTGTGTGTTTGTGTGATATTCTCGAGGTAAGTTGTGATTTTTATTAAATTGTGTTCAATCATTCGATAAAGGGGGTTCTAGGTTGTGTACTGTTGATTAATTACATTTTAAAATTAATTATTTTGTTTAATATTCGATATTTCTTTTGCTTGTGTACATACGCGGTATTGCAAGTTCTTAAAATTGAGAAATGTTGATTATACTTTAATGTACGAGGTATTGCATTTGTTTTTATTATTGAATAAATAATAGCATCTAACGATTATTTTTAGGGTAACATAAAATGCAAATATGTCTTTTTTTATGATTCCCAAATTATTTAAATTCTTATCTTTTCTTGTCATTTTCACTTCTTAATTTTCTTCTATAGCTTTTAATTTGATACTTTTAATCTAATAATTTAAGATAAAATAAAATTTAAAGACTTTTCTAAAATTCGGAATTACAAAATAACTTTTTTTGCAGAATGAATCGTGGCAAAAAAATTTTGGCTCTCGTTAAACAAAATGAACAGCAGGAAAATAGTGCTGCTCAGTATCCATTAGAAAATCTGCCTATCGAATTTGAGGATGGAGTTCTATTTGAAGGTGATTCGACGATTATGTACAGTGATACTCCTAACGACAACATCCCTAATCAAAGCGTCATTAGTTTAGAATCAAATATAATTTTAAAATGCAATACTTCTGTTTCTTCAAATATTGCAAATAATGACATTTCCCTAAATGAGCAGAGATCCGACACGATTGAAAATCTAACTCCCTCTGATAATTATTGTTCACTCGATGTAAGTCATAATATCTTTATAAGCGAACATGACAACGAAATTATAAGTCTGGACAATAACATAGAATTAGATGATTGCATATTATTAGAAAAATATGAAGAGTATCCAGACTCTACAATTGAAGCAGAAATTAATGGCAAAAATGAAAAAACGACACCAATCGAAAGAACACCAAACAAAATCGAAGATTCACTTGAAAATGTGAACCATGGATATGAGACTAAAATAGAAAAAGTGAGAATAAACAAAAACGTAATGGATCCGGATTTTGTATTAAATAACAGCAAAGATAATGAAGAATCTGATAGTGAAGTTGTGAATAAACGCACAAAGAATAGAAGCCAGAACGAAGATTTGGATCCAGAAGATATGTCTATTGAACCAGCAACCAAAAGAGCAAAGAAAATAGATTTAGACAAAAATAAATGGAAAAGAACAGAAAATAAAATTAAGCGAATGAAAGGAGAAGAATATCTAGGATATACCAGAAAAAATAAAAAATGGAAACACAACAAAATTAGAAGCGAAAGAGAAATAAAAGAAAGATGCGATGGTAAACACTGTGGGAAAACAAAAGTATATTTATGCAATAGCGTGACAAACGAAAAACGAAATCAAATATTTGAAAATTTCTGGAAAGATTTAACATGGGACCAAAAAAAAATGTTTGTTATTAACAATGTTGAGAAAACAGAACCAAAAAGAAGAAAAACTGAAAATAAGGAAACACAGAAATCAAATAGCTTTTTTTACTATTTGAGAATAGATGGTAAACCGCTTAGAGTCTGTAAAAAGATGTTCCTAAATACATTATGCATTGGAGAATGGAGTGTAAGAAACTGGTGCAACAATGAAGATAACGGAATGGTAGCATCATCAGCTGAAGTGAATGACAGAAGAAAAAACAGTCAAGAACCTAAATTATGCGAGAGAAGAAAGTTTCTTGAAAATTGGTTTGACAAATTACCAAAAATTCCGTCACATTATGCAAGAGCTGATAGTAAAAAGGAATACATCGAAGATAATATCGTTAAAAATAAATCGCAGCTGTATAAAAGGTACGTTGAATGTTGTGAAGGAAAACCTCTTAGTACTTTTGTATTTGACGAGTTATTTGAAAAAAAGAATTTAGGGATATTCCAGCCTAGAAAGGATCAATGCGATATGTGCTGTAGTTTTAAGACTGGTAACATTGATCAGAAAGAATATGAGGCGCACATTGTATCTAAAGACCGAGCCAGAATTGAAAAGCAAATCGACAAAGAACAATCATCTATCAAAGAAAATTGCCATCTACTAACCATGGATCTTCAGGCTGTTCAACTATGTCCCAGAATGTACGCTTCTGCGCTTTATTATAAACAAAAACTTAGAGTTCATAACTTTACAATTTACAACCTGTCAACACACCAATCAACAAATTTTTGGTGGCACGAATGCGAAGGGAAGCTTGAGGCTTCAAATTTCGCAAGTTGCATTATAGATTATCTGGAAACACAGTTTAGCCAATCTAATCTACCCATAATAATATACAGCGACGGGTGTGGGTACCAGAATAAAAACGCGGTTCTTTCAAATGCTTTATTAACCTTTTCTGTTACTAATAAAAAAATTGTAGAGCAAAAATATCTCGTTAGGGGTCACACGCAGATGGAATGTGACAGCGTGCATAGTCTAATAGAACGACGTCTGGAAAAAAGGGAGATTTATTTACCAGGGGAATATGTATCCATAACCAAGCATGCTCGTAAAAATCCATTTCCCCTAGATGCAAAATATTTGCATCATGATTTTTTTAAATACTATAGCGATCCATTGTTTCAGTGGTATTCCTCTATAAGACCACCTGGGGCTACAGTTTCTGAAATAAGAGCTCTAAAATATACACCAGAGGGTCTTATATATTTTAAGACAGATTTTGATTCTGATTATATGCCTTTAAGAAAAACAAAATCTGTTTCTTTAAATAGAGTAAATTATAAAAATCTTTACTCCACCAAACCCAAAATTTCGCTTGAAAAATATGAACAGCTTCTTGCTATCACGAAAGTTATGGATACAGATTACCACGATTTTTATAAAAATTTACCTCATGCAGTTTCTAAAAAAATTAAAGTTTAATAAGCCAATTTCGCAATATTTAGGATATGGTCTGTTTTTCTGTTTTTGTTACCATTGTACCTACTTAGTTTAATTCTGAATTAGCTAAATACTTAAAACATTATTGTAAGAAATAAACAGTTTATTTTTTGTGTTTTTTTTAATCCGAAAGTAAAAGTAACCCACATTGTAACATTTTTACACCCATTTAAGGGTAACTGCAATACCTCTTAAATACAAAAACTGAAGAAAAAAAGAAAAGCAATAACACGTATGTGCTTAAAAAAAAAGCGAAAAAGTATTTGAGGCTCAAAACAGTAAAAATACCATAGATTATGACGGAAGTAACGTTGTGACATAAGTTGATTAATAAAAGATTTAATAATATAATAATATAACGTTTTTTATTCATACCCACAAATTTTGACAAACGTACTTACGTGGTATTGCTTCTAGGCCATCGAAATATTAAATTTGTATCTACAATACCCCTGGTGTATCTTCAGTAGAACCTACATCGCTGACACGAAAGTCTCTTCTGCTTAATTGAAAATTATGTATCATTTTATGATTGAACACAATCATTAAATCATTGAAGGCATCTGAATTTCTATCCACTTATTTTTAATAAAATTATTTAAAAATTTACATTTACATTGGTTTTAAAACCAAAACCAGTTATTTTTATTTTTCTTTTCCCAACTAGTGACATAATGAACTGTTTGTAACTAGTTGCATAAATTACATCAATTTGACCTTACGATTACAAAATATTATTGTGTCAAAATAAAAAAGAGATCTAATTTACACACTCTCTACATATTTCTTTCCAAGCTTCCTTTAAAACATTTATTCTCGTTACCGTATTTACGAATTATTGTAATAATTAATTAGGTATGTAGCAAATAAATAAAATATACCTTAGCGCTTGAATTATGTGCGCATATTTATGAGGAAAAATTCGTACGTTCGTGCATCAGTACCTACATTCTTTAAAATTTATTATTTTTGTTGTAAATTGCACATTTTAATGAAAATTCCGAATTAAGTCCAGCATGCGACTCGCAAAACACGGTTTTTAATTTATGTGGTACGTTATTTAAGCAACATTCTTGAGAAATTTCGAAGCAGATATTTCATGTGATTTATTGTTTTTACGAGAACTTGGCAAGGGAGGTTATGGAAACAAGAGAGGTTGACATTTCCTTCTTCCCGGGAGATGTAATGCATGAATTCGCTAGCACCAGAACAAGTCGCGGTCTCGTATTTACTTTACTCCTTGTGCCATAAATACCTCTTAGGCCGAGACATCGCGTTAGAATTATCGCCGCATCGGAATTAGAAGTTTTGACTTTTTGAAATTATAATTATTTTGCGGAGAGATATAAGCATTTATTTTAATTAGATATATAAAATGCGTATCTGGGGAGTATGTATAATGAGACTAGGACAAAAGCAAATAAAAAGTAATTTTCATTTACATTCATTTCCTAATTATGCTTATTCAACCTGTAAAGAAAAGATTATATAAAGTATATAAATATTTAAGCTCATATTTAAATAAATAAAATAAACTTAGAAAAAATAACTTTACCGCCTTTAACAAAAAATTATTTTAGTTCACTTTACCAACTTTAGCCTGTTAGGCCTGTCATTAGAGATAATCAATTCACATTAATTACAGAAGTTCTCAAACTTTGTTGAAATATTTATTAAATTAAAATAATTGTAAATTTAATTTTGCAACTTTTTCTGAGGTCCGGAACTATTAATAATTCCAAAAAATTTAAATTTATTATAACTTTCTTAAAAAAATTGCAAGAGTGCTGCAAATTTGAAACAATATAAACTGTATTATTTTCAACATTATATCAGATTTGCAAGTTTTTTAAAAGTTTGGAACATGTTTTTTTTTTTTTTTTTGTAAAATAGTGTTTTTTTATATCATAGACAAAAAAATTGCAAAAGTGCTGCAAACCGGTGACAACTCATACAAGTTTTTGGAACAGCTATTCCAATTTGCAACCTTTTATTTTGCACGAAAATATTTTTTTTTTGTAAAAATATCAATTTTGTCAAAAAAAAAATGCAAAAATCTGCTAAATTTGCAACTTCGAACAAGGTCCGGAACCTTGAAAAATTAACAAAAATCAAGAATTCGCACCATGGCGATTTAATTCAATTTTATCTTTAAAAATATTCATATATAGAAACTAAAATAAAAATGTACAATATAAAGATACATCGGGGTATTAGAAGTACGGATATATAAAAGTTATAACTGAAGGTGGAGCATAAATATCAAACTAATTCCGAGAATAAAATAATATTAATCATTATTTTAACGATTGCAGGAATGACCTTGAAAATGGGATTTCTTACAATTAACAAAAACCCAAAATCTATAGATACTTACATTTTTACATAGGTCCAGTGCGGTCAGAGAAATGTCCCTAGTTTAATGAAAAGTTCGATCTTGACCCACTGATCCAAATTACATCTTGAAAACGGATAGTTACACCAGGCCAATAACCAAATATTTTTATATCTCAACGACATAGGTGTTTTAAATATTTTTATAAATAATGCATCATGCAATCTGAGTTTAATAACATATTTCTTAACGTAACTTTAGTAAGAAATGCTTATCGAGTATTTTAACATATTTAATGCAGATATTGTGATAAATGGTTCAGATTTACAAGATGAAATAATATCCCAAGTAACATCCGCATTTTAAGGGCCAGTGCTCGCGAACGTTTGTTGCAGTCGCGTCGACGCAAGGGTCAGTGGTATTGAAATACATTCAATCGAGTCAGAGGGTACCTTCTGGATGCCACGTTTCAGCGGTATATTGGCGTTGCAAAGATATATTAGTTTGTATCAAGAATTACAAAAGAAAGGTGGTAGAAAAACGTAGTAGCACATAATTATTCTAAAATGAAATAAAGGAACATTTCTAAATGCTCTCGTTTTATTTAAGCATTAAATTCAGTTCATTAATGAGCATATAATCATAAGAACATAATTAAAAAATATATATTTATCATTATTTCTTGAGTCAAAAAGCTTAATATGAAAGTACTTTTTAACCTTTAGTAAACGGGAACTTAAGTAAGGATATACCCAGTATTTCCTCTTCTTCCTCACAAAATGTAAATAAGATATAGGTGCAAATATCACTTCTTTTTTCGAACTTATATCCATCTTTTCTGTTCTTAAGACGAATTTATTTGTTTGGGGACAAAAGACAAGAAGCGCTGCGTGTCAATTAAAAATTGCGTTTGCGTGAACATAACGTTAACACGACTGCTAAAAAACGTTCGTGAGCATCGACCCTAATAGGTATTTTCGAGGTTAAACTAAGAAAATACCTTGTATAGTTGTTATGTTATTGTTATAAAGTTGTTATATATTAATGTATATGTTAACGTACAAAAATTTCAGTAAGAAACTTTTCTTAATTTACAGTTATCAGAAATATATTGGTAAAAAAAATAGTGAAAAAATACCGGTGTTACTTCCGAATATTTCTTTGGTAAAAATGTTCTGTAGCATATGTCGCTGGTGTTAGAAGAATTGGGTTCTTTTGTAGAAATAACTAACGAGTCATAGGTAGTAGAAAAAGAAGTGTTTTTAATTTACTATTTTCACTGAAGTAAATACATAGTGGTTGATTCCATTTAGATATAATAATTTTCTTATCTTCACTAAACAGTATTAAATATTTACAATTTTAGTTCATCACAATTTGATTAACTAATACAGTTGATTTTTTAGTTACCAACTTGAAAACATTTGTTTGTAGAATTTCTTATGCCATAATAATTGTAGAAGATATAACTTGCACCAGAAAATAAACTGCATTAAACGCTTGTAAAAATGTAGAAAGTAACGTGCCGTCGGCAGAAAGCACCTGAACGTTCGGATAGCAACGAAAACTGTGAGCGATGATGGCAAAAAGACAACTGATCTCTGGTGGAAATAAGACAACTACTGAATTTCGCGTCGAGTTCACCCTAATATATACTGTTGGGACGAAATGAGTGTCCGGGGCATAGTTGACGCACCTGTTCGGTTTCAACCAATGAAAACATCATGACATAATCAAATACGTCATTTGTGTTTCGTTAACTATGCGCCGGACACTTATTTTGTTCCACTGCACAGCTGTGCACACAGGTGTTCGACGTTCGGTATTCTGAGAAAAATGATATTTATTGTTTTATGTTTTATGACTTCACATTAATTTGTTGATGTTTTTACTGGTGAAATTGTAGAATTTAACCAAATAGTATTTAGTCAAATAACAGGGCTGTCACTCTAGACAGAACTATGCACAGATAAATGTTTCTGATATTAAAAAAAAAACTCAGATTAAAACATAAATATGTAAGCCCAATTAGTAACACTGTAACAAAATTAATATATTAAACATGATGGACATTTGCAAAATTTATATTTCGTAATTTTAGATTTTAAATTCGAATTAATGTGAAAAATAGGAAAACATTTATTAATGGGATTACTTGGCAATAATTTTTAAACATTCATTCGTTTTTCTATGATAACTCCTTTAGCAAATATCTAAAAAAAAATGGTTCGTATTTACCACATTAACTACTGGGATTGCATACGGTTTTTGATTAGATTTTTATAGTTGTAAAAATATAGAAATTATGGCCTTTTTCTGTAAATAATAATGAGAAAAAGCTAAAAGCTTCTTACATGTATAGTTTCATTTTTTCATTTGTCAATGTTAGGTTTCAGTTATAAGGCCGAGTAAATAACAAAAAATTATTAAATGACCCGTAAGAATGTTTTGTTTGATAAGAAAGTCCTACTAGTAATTTTTTACAATAATATATAAAGAATATTTATTGATAAAATAAGGAAATGGAAAACGTTAATTTGTCACCAAAGAAATACATCATATGAAACTTTGAGACAGTTCTACTTCAAACAAAATTAAAATATTTTTTTGATTTTCACAAAATTGAAATATCTATTTGATTTTCAGA